AAGAAAAGACACTTCTGAATCTCAGAGGCAAGGGCAGTTAAACTGGATCAGAAGCAGCGATTTCAGGTCTTCAGAAAGACATCCTCCACCCAGAACACAAATGCAAATCCTAGGGTATCCTATCTTCCCCAATATTCTTGAGACCCGCACATAACATACGAACATCACAACCGTTTATGTCATAAATGGGGGGAAAAAAACAGCCTCAAAAATGAAAACCTAAGAAGGTAATTCAATGAGTGTACACTTTTCTAACAAAACAGCTAAGCAATTCGTATGTGACTAATCTATTTTACATTCGGTTTCCTCTGCTCCTATGCAATCTAATATTGCCTATTAAGACTGCCAAAATATTTTTTAAACAAGATCTGAGAATTTCCCCCTCAGCTTCTGATCTTTGTACTCTTTTAGAGTTGGCACACACGTCATTGTCACTGGCAAACCAACTGGTAGTGACAAGTTACTACAAACTGGCTCTTTGGGATGAAATGGTAAATTAAACGGTCACCCCCAAAATTTTCCAAGCGGCCAGTATCTTTCAGGGAACAAAGGATCAGCATATGCAAACCTATGATCCTTCCAGATCACCTGCTGGAAAACTTGCTCTGCAGAATCTCCCCACATAATCCAACTCTACTCGGCTTCTCCCCAAGATTCTGCAACATTTAGGCTTACTTAAGAGGCACACGTCTCCTATCTCGTGCACCCCGAGATGGCAGATGGCAAATATCTGGTAGTCTCTCGACCTTTCTCCCCGACAAGAGCCCCCCCTCGGCATCCCAGGCTTCACGATCCCACATGCTGTCTGCCCACTGGACCTTAAAGGCAACAATGAGAGACTCGGGCTTCCCGGCACCTCGGTGCCAAGTTTCTGAAAGCCGCTTCCAAGCAAAACTCTTCTTCCACTTTGAGGAAGCAAAAACTAGGTTCGGAAGGGAGGAGGACGCTAAGGCAGAAAATTCAGACGTGGAGATCGCACTTTTTTTGAAGTAAACAAACGGAATCTGCAACCTCCCCCCGCCCCACCCCCAGCCCGGCGAAGGTGGCTTTAAAGCGGCGGGGCCGCCGCGCGCCCCGGCCCGCACACC